TCTTTAAACTACAGTCCTTTACAAAACATGCTCAAAGTGGGCACTTCTCTCTATGCACAAACGAATCCTGCGAACAAAGTTGTTAATTACCCTTTCCTATACACATTAATGTGGATGGTAAATATTGGGGTAGTTATTGCCCTCCTAAGATTGTTAGGGGCCTGTCCGTATACACATTGGCTTTGAGAAATCCTCAAAGATAAAAAATTTGGGGGGATTTAGATCAGGCGAATGAGGTGCCCACATGGTTTGCGTTCTGCAACTGATGAGCTGACCACCAAAGCATTGCCTAAACCATTTCAGCATATCATTTGCAGTGTTGGGGTGGTATTGGCTTGTTGAAACCACTGCTTAATTATCTCCTTATATGTCCCTTCTGGTGCTTAGTGACCTCCAAAACTTTGTGAGAACTACTGGTCCTTGTTCATGGTGATAGCACGTCCCCAGTCACCTTCGAACCAAAAGGGACTGATGATTCCATGTTTCCTCATTGCCACCCAGGCAGTGCATTGTTCAGAATGCAATGGATGCTGTAACACCTCATCAGGATGATGTAAGCCCCAGTAGCAATTGTTATTTGAACAAACTTGTCCATTCAGAAAGACATGTGTGTAGGAGGGTCATCAACAACTTTGTTCGCCGGATTGAATTGTGCATAGAGATAGAGCAAAGGGCATCTGTTCAAGGAGGCATTTCAGGTTTATTTCAAGACGGCCTCCATCTTTTGTAAAAATGTAATCTTTGATAACTCAATTACCATTTGACAGATTTGGTTCAGACTATACTGATGCCTTATATAAGGCCTTAGGGGCATAGCAGTCTGCTCTCGAAGGATCGAATTTTCAAGATGACTGTTGTATTCAAAACAGTCGCTAAATATTTTGTGAATCGTTTTATGACTCTTATACCAGTTGTCACATTTGGTCCAGGTATTTGGTTTAGATTTGATGCGCTGGTGACATATTGGCATAGGACTCTGCTCAAGAAAGAATGCTAAATTCAAAATAGCAGCATTTTTCAGGAAATGTGCCTTTTCAATAATGCAAATACCATTAATCGGATATAGTCCAAAGTTTAATGTCTTATGATCAAACAGATGTAAGACCTCTACTCGAGAAAGAATTTATAATATGGCGTCACATCATGAGGGTAGATTTTGCCAAAAAGAGACAATCGGTTAGTTTTAACAAGTTATGTTCAAAATGATGGGTGATTTGATAAAATATGTTTTTGTTGTGTGGGATTTTCTACTAGCTGCTGTTTTTGAAAAATGAATATGTTTCTGATCAAAGAAATGAAGTGTTAAATACACGTTTTAATCAGTTAATCCATGATATGAGATAAAACTATTTCCTTGGTACCAGGGTACCATTAGATGATGAGGTTTTAATAGATAGCAGCTTGTATTCTTATGTCAGTTATTAACGGTTGCATCATTACTAACATTCCGTCATTTAGAAATTAATCGTATAGTTGATGAAATGCCGGATCTCAGGATCTCAAGAACCTAATCGACATTAATATTCCCCTATAGTCATAAATACACAAAAGGGCGTCAGATACAATTCACTTCTGAAGACGTGTCTGGGGAACTCGTTGAACTCATCACTGTATGTATCTTTTCTTGACTTATAAATATTCGTTTTATATATATTATTAACACAAAGCCAGCCTCTTATTCGATGCCGCTGTATATGAAAATAGAGCAAATTGGTTTAAGTACCCTAGGCCTTTCGTCGAGCTACATCACGCGGTACTAACTCACTGGGGCGTATCGAAACCAAAACGCCCCGCAAAACCGTTAATTTGAATTTCAAATCTACCCTGTCTTTGGAAAATCAATTATTGTGTGTCTCACACTACACCGTTTTTCTTCAAACTTGTTCCATTAAAACCTTCACAGAAATACCTTTCACTCGAGACATAGCTTTTGTGTACAGAGTCCCTCGTTTTAGCGGCGTTTTGGTCCCCAGATGTGAGAAGTTGCAAATCCTCAGAGATTTAAACCACAATCCTTGATATCTCGCCAGTTCTTCTTCTATATATTTTGGTCAACATTCTTGTCGTAGTTTTACAGCCATTAAGTATAATCAAAGAAAGGCTTTTTGAAAACAATTGTATATGAATATATATTTTGGTCAACATTCTTGTCGTAGTTTTACTGCCATTAATTAAGTATAATCAAAGAAAGGCTTTTTGAAAACAATTGTATATGAATATATATTTTGGTCAACATTCTTGTCGTAGTTTTACTGCCATTAAGTATAATCAAAGAAAGGCTTTTTGAAAACAATTGTATGAATATATATTTTGGTCAACATTTTTGTCGTAGTTTTACAGCCATTAAGTATAATCAAAGAAAGGCCAAAGAATTAAACGTTTCAGTCAACTGAGTGAACGTTAGTCTATCTACATTATTTCTTATTATAAAATTAATTTTTCTTGTTGACTGGTCAATTCCTTTTATTTACTCATCAGTTCAACTTATCGATTATTCAGTTCTAGCGGGAGTAATTGAACTGAAAAATCTCTTTATGCTACATCCATTTATCCCCTTTTCAACATTTATAGCCTTTCTGCAACAGTAAAAAGGTAACTTCGGGTATAAAGAATGGACGCATGTCTAAATTAACGATCTCATTAGCAGTAAGTAATAGCCAGGAGCAATAGCCATTGCCGAGGAAGTGATCCCCATAAATTAGCAGATATTAAGGAAGGTAAAGTTGGCAATTTTTGATCAATATTGCAGTATGGTAGAAGGCTCATATTTTCATCAATTTGAAGGGACACCGAAAGACAAATAAAATGTCATTAAAAAAGCTATTATAAACTACTGCTATAGGTTCCGAATTTTCAATAAGAAGATCAAGCAAAAAGGGAAGAACGAACCAACTTTATATGTCAAGACAAATACAGAGTGGGCCAAAACAATTTTATTACGCTTTTACATTCTAATAAGGCATGTACAATGTACTCCAAAAGTATTTCGCTGGAGATGCAGCATTTAATTTTGCAAACTAAAAAATATTTTAAACGTCGCCTCTAAATTTGACCGCGCCCTTCACACCTTATTGGGGAGTTAAGGCTTGCATATAAAACAGAAGCGACAACCTATACGTATGACCAATCGCCCATACAAATGCATTATGTACTTTCCGTTCACATTAAGGTTGTGAAAACCATTGCAAGCTTAATCTCCCAAATATTACACAAACGTAAAGCTTGTCTTATAATGGTCATGATGCTCAAATTGCTCAAAAAACTCATCGAAAAATGTTTTTTGTCATGGACAAAATCAATGCATCTAACTCACGTCTCATTAACTGCGGTGTACCCTTGGGCTCAATTATTGATCCTATACTCTTTATAACGTTATGATAATTTCACTACGATTGTAAATTAGTAACTGGCAATCAATCTGTGAAATCATATCAACCATTTATATATTAGGAGAGTTCACGTCTTTACCTGGACAATATATCTACTATATATTTACCAATAATACATCTGAATTATTTTGGGCCAACTTACAAAATAATTCAAGCAGCAAACATCAACTAGGTAGGCCTAAGGGTAACAAAATGTAGAGATATGTTGATCAGCATAAAACTCCATACTAATTTGAGATATATCGTGGATATTGTATAACCATTTATGATATTTCCCCCAATTGGTACATTCCATATCTACATTTAATGAACCAGACTGACCTCTATACTGTTTTCGTCATTTAATATTGGATTATTTTTTCATCTATCTATTAAATCTGACAAGCTAATTTTCTCCATTTTTTTCACCACTGCTAGGTGCCTAATGACCTCGTGTTGATTAGCGATCAAATAAAGTTATTTCATATATGTCATGATTGGAGGTTCCGAGTAATGATACATGGCTAAACAGGCTAAAGATCATATTTGTCGCGGCTACTATTATACCCTATTATTCTAGAGGCATTTATCTTAGATCTAGGGAATAACTTTTAGATGAAAGATACCAAATCAAAGCCATTAAATCAAAGTGGAACTGATTTTCTATTACAGAAAACGATTTATGTCAGGAAGAAAAGATTTTGTATCTCCTCGCCTTCGTTAATATGGATAATGGTATTGCTATCATAATGTCAAGACGTTCTGGTTTTGCGAATAAACCAACGGCTGAAGCAAAGTCACAGCATATTGAGGATGTCGACTGTATTTTCAAATAACTCACGTTTTTTGTTTAGGTATGTTAACACGACCTTGAATATCAAAGAAAATTGTTGAAATACACGAAGTGTTTTATGTCTAATTTGCGGACTTCTTTGTTGAAAATCTAAGATATAAAAGGTTTGAATCGAACATTTGGATTTCAAGCTCTTTTTCTAACCAACACAGCACAGATATCACCCAACTTTATTTTCTTCACCCAATACGATTCATTTCAGTAACGCTGAAATAGAGGATCGTTTGTTTCATGTCGTATTGACTGTCACTTTTATTGCACAGTTTTATTACATCTGGACAGTCGAAACATGTTGTGGGTACGTAAAACACGAAGTTGTGGTCATGGGAAAATATCACAATTTAATGAGAGCATATAGTGACTGATCATCCAGATGAATATGATTGCACATGTGTCAAATGAATAGACCATAATTATAACTTGTTACAGAACGGGCAAGGAAAGGAAAACATGAGTATACTACACAAGTTATAAGGAAAACGAATCCCAACCATCAAAAACCATGATCTGACGTGAAAAGAAACAATAGGTGCATCGTCGCTTTCCACTGGGTCTAGAGACCCCCGTAGAGAACCCGTGGCATAAAATAAAAGGTTAATTTGTTTGTCCCATCCATATGTGGCGGTTCATGGCCCGGTGTTAAGTCAACGGACCCAATCAGAACGCTCCGTCATAAGACAAAATATTGAAAATGTCTCAAGAAGTATCGCATCGTTGATTGGCCGATTGGTTTTTTGGCGTCTCACAAAACTCTGCGGCAACTGCCAGGAGGAGCAATATTGAGAGTGAACTCAGCTGGGGTTTATTTACACAGTGGTCGGTTAAATCGAGCAGATTTATCAAGGTGAGGTAGGAACAATCGAAACCTTGTGAATCAAGATGATAAGGTGGTCGTTCAGTGATGTTATGTGACCTAGGCTGCGTTTTTGAATTGCCCGCGGGCTAGTGCATTGCATGATTATATAATAAGCATTCCATCTACGTATCACTAAAATTCAACGAGTCCATGCGTGCCAAATTACATGCTCACACGTTGTCAACAAAAGCAGTTCATCCAAGCGCACTTAAACTGCAAATTATGCTGTGGCAACCTTGTCGGCTACTTGTGTGTGTCAACCGCGCCGGTTTGTTGTTGGTGCACCACAGGAGTTCGACTGCAATAAACCGTGATGTCTTTCGAAAGAATTATGTGTGAGTGCGCTTGAATGACCTTTTTGTTGAAAACACATGAGCTTCCCATGTAATTGTTCTTTTTAGGTATACCTTGGGAGAAAGTCATTAATGCCTGTGTCACATTTTCTCCGATACATCGGCCGGCGCCCGGCCGATTGAGTGTTTTGTTCAATTATGTATTCAATTTTGAACAAAATACTCAATCGGACGGGCGTCGTAGGGAAAATCGGAGCAAATGTGACCAAGTCATCAAACATTGCACAATTCACTAGCATACAAATTATGAAAAATACAGTCGAAGTCTCATTCAGATTAACATGTTAACTCTAATCAGTATATTGTACTGGAAAAATGCATTTTCATTTTTCTTGGTGTTTGCTGACAAGTTTTGCCCGAAAACAAGATGTAAACAAATAAGCAGACCAAAAGAGATTGGGAGTAAACAAAAGCACATTTCATTTACAATAACAGCAAAATTCAAAGCTAATACGTGCATATCTAACAAATTATGGAATAACGACCTTCTTTTAATGCATATATCAGAATGATGACACGCTTCAAGAAGCAAAGTATATCCTATATCAACCCAAACGCTTTAATCTGTGAAGTACCTGTTCTAGTCTGTTCTCTTGCTAATTAGAATGATGTAAATCGAGTTAGAGTCAGCGATGTTGGAGCTGGAAAACTATCTGGATAAAGAAGGAAAACAGATCCTTGATTGGACAAAATCAAAAGCTTTTAATTTACTTAGACTATCTTTGATCCATAATTTGATAAAACATTTTTCTAATGTATTTGCATAGGAGGATGTACATTGTAGACATCTGCCATGTATATCAGTTTAAATGATGAGTTATTGAACAAGTGTTATTACCATAACCACTCATTGTAAGATGACCGGAACAGGATCTGATTTTACGAGGTATCACATGATTGAAGCAGAATAAGTAGACGTGATACTCAATAGAGAGGTTTCGCAAAACGCTTTTTAGCTCCACGTATCCGTATCCGTAACGTATTTACCAGATTTATGCGTAGTCAGTTCAATTTATACGTGAAATGATACGGAAAACACGACAAATGAGGCTTTTGTACGTTGGTCATTTACGTATCCGATTTTACCCTTCGATTATATTGTTTTTAGTTCTAAAGGTATCACTATATGAACAAGCACAGTGTGCTGTGTATAATTTGACTAAAATTTGGTGAATGAATTTGTTTATTGTTTGAAATAAATCGAGTTTTTCAAATGGTATGTTCAATTCATTTTACACTGTATGGAATAGTATTGCAATAATTACAGTGTACATGTTTCGCACAACGTTTTAGCTACCCGTATCAAAATCCGTAACGCATCGATGGAGTAAAAGTGTACTCAATACGTTTGTGATACCATCAGCAATACCGAAAGTACGTAAACTAACACTTTCTGTGCGTAGTTGTCTCCGTATCTATTTTGTCCTTCAACTCTTGATAAATTTTTCCCTAAATGTATAATTTTAGTAACCCACATATGTTATCATGTGTATCGTGCTAATTTTGATGAAGTAATAGCCTTATCTGCCGAAAAATTTGATTATAAGCGAGGGGCCTGCAATTTTTACGAATAAAGCTTTAGTCACATTTGCTAATAGGCAGATGTAAGGTCTATCGTTTCTAGGGTCAATAGTAATACCGTAGTCAATTTCTTGGGGGCATCAAATCAATGGTTAGCAGCTAGGCCACCTGAATATATATTTTGCGCCTTAAGTCACGCTCCGAATTCATAGAGAGCAGGGTCTTGGGCTTAGTTTGAGTATAGTAGCTTGGTCCTGACCTCGACAATAAATGTCATATTGGGTCTAAAAATGGCGCCCCGCATCACTCTTGCCCGTATCTCGCTTGTGGCAAGGGGGAGCTTTTTGGCTTAAAACTCCCGAAAAGTGCTCAGCGGTATGATGAAAAACTGAATGATTTTGAAAAAAATTCTAGCCAGGTAGCTTCTTCCCTTGGTATGACTTGAACACGCATCAAGTCATGCGATCTATGTCAAATAGTAAGCGGCCTCGTTTGGGGATCCAGGGAGACTAGTGCCCTAAAGCTTAGTGTCCAAGCTTCCCCGAACCACCGTCAGTGATTATGTAACAGGTAGAGTATATTTCTGTGATCCTAGGATGATGATATTGGCGTATCATTTCCTTTTTTTCATTTTTTGTAAAGACAGGCCTGACATCCTGATCCTGTAACGGATCTTCTCTCTTACATATGAGTAGTCACGGTAGGGGCCCCAGATGTTCCTAACTCTTGGGTAGTGGTCCATGATGTGTTCTTCATTAGCAGACTTGTGATGATAAGGAAGGGGGGGGGGGGGTTGTAATTCAAGTACATATTCAGTAGATATCGGGTTGTCCCCGATTGTTTTGTGCGACTGTCTCCAGCTGGAATAACTTAGTTGAGTAAATCGGAATCAACGTTTCGTTGTGGTTTATTGGTTGTGCCTGATTGTGTTTTGATGGGTTGAGTAAATCTATTGAGTATTTGGTTAAGCCATGGTTGTGTAATGGTGGGTTAGTGTCAAGTAGGTATCGGTTTTGCCGAATTGTGTTGGGTACGTTTGAGACTCGGTTCTCTTTTGATGCTGGTTGTTAATCTGGTGATTTAGTCGAGGGTTGTGTCCCATTGTGTTATGTTAATCTTATAATGGGTTGTTTTCTCTTGTGAATATGTTATGTTGGTTGGCTCGCTGGTTGTGGCTAGTCGGGTGAGTGTCTGATGGTTCATGGTTGTTACTTTAGTTGTGTATTATTGATTGTGCCTGATTGCGTTTTTATTGTTTAGTGTTGGATTGTGCACAATATCCCAGATGCGAGTAGAAATAATCTTGATTTACGTCATTAAAAATTCACAATTCAGTCAAACTGATGTTTATACATGTAAAATTACATTTAGAAATGTTTTTTGAAAAGAGTTTATCAACTTTGAAAATTTAATTTTCTTTGAAAATGTGAGTTCTAGGTCGGGGAGATTCCCAATAGACCCCATGTTGTAGAACCACAAAAAGTGAAATATCTTTTCTTGTGTTGGGTAGATAATATTTTATTTTACTGGACATATTTTAATTTGTATAACTATCAGATACATAAAGGTAATACGAAAAGTGAACCACTAAAACTGATGCATATTCAAGTTTAAGGGAATTTTGTAATACCCTGCCATGTTAATTCCCCCGAATCAGCCACCTGGTGGCGAAACTGGTAACTACCTACTCGCATCTGAGTAATATACCAATACGCGATAACGTTCAATTTCGTTCAGTTTAACTACCTCTCGTTTGAAGAGCTCTCATGTATGGTACAACTTCGTCTACATCCGGGTTCTTTCCCATTGGATTACACAGGGGTGCTATTTTCAATGCCGTGCTGCGGCTCTATTAAACATTTATGTAGATTTTCATTGGCACAAACGATAGATATAATATGTATGTAATTAAGATATATGACAAAGCTTTTTGAGCTATAATCCCCAAATCCGAAGAAATCTGTAGTTGAAAATGCCGTCCAATTCCAGTGACGTCACTGATATCCTTGAAATTGCTCAGACGCCATCGAAGATCGAAAAATAGAAATAATGTTACTTTGAATCTCCGATTATCTTTCTGATCATTGAATAGCTTGTGGATTATATAACTATGCTTGGGGGCTGATGGAAGATCAGAAGCTGAGAAACGTTCAGAGTAATCGACTCGTTCGGCGGGCCAATGAAAATTTGTCCCTTCCAAAGCGATGCATCATGGGAAATATTTATGTAAATTACCACCTGAACTCTTATCGCGAATAGGAGTATTGTGTTGAGTTAATTCAACAAATGGTTGTGTTTGTCTTTGTTGTCTTATTATTGGGTTGTGACATATTGTGTTAATCTGACAGTTGATTGTGTTTTGGTGGTTGTAAGTCAGGTTGCGCTATGCTGGCTTTTGTGCTGGGTTATGCTCTATCGCGTTCTGTGTATTTTGACACGGGGTTATGTTCTATTGTACTGTTGCATGATTGGTGATCTACGTTGTGTTTGGTTGTAGTAGGTTATATATGTCGAGTTGTGGGCTGTGTCCGATCAGGCTGTGGTGTTTATCGGGTTAAGAAACAAATGGCCGGTTTAGGGTATTATGTTGTTGGTTTATCAGTTGATTCTGTGTAGACCCCAAAGGGGTATATAGGGTACTATGATGGTGAGATATTCAACTGGTATGATAGGCGTTAGCTTCGCGTCGTACTCTGATGAGCTGGTCCCCTGTTGTTCAATGAATTAAAGAAAAACAATGCTAATTTATCTTTTTACATAATATATTTTTTGTTGATTTCTCATACAAAACATACTTTTATTGCGATAAATGATATATTTATGTCGCTTTCTATGATCAAATATGTTACTTTGCTCCCCTCCTTTATGAGGCATGGGTTTTCAACTAAAGCTCATGTGTGAGTAAAGGGCCGGGGGTGGCTTATGTGAAAACGTGTGGTTTCCGAATGCCTTGGCCTTGCCCAAGTCGCATTTTTTTTACTTATTTGATCTTGAATTATTACCAAAATATACAGCTGCAAGAACATGAAATTAAAGGTCCATGTGCAGTATGGCAAGTGATTTTAGAAATGTTTACGCATTTTGTGGCATAATGCAGTCACTGCACGTCACTTA